TCCTGCTGGGCTTTTTCTCCAAAAAAAGCCACGGCATATCTTATGTTTCATTGACAGCTAATTGTCTGTACAAAGTGGGAGGGGAAGAAAGAGGGACAACTAGTTGCCAATGAATGAGGAACAGATGAATAAATGGGGCTCGAGGCTCTGCAGTCCCTTCCAGCTTTCTCTGCCTATCTTAGGAAGAGCCTTTTGAATTCTCAAGGGGCATAGCCTGTCTTCTTAGTCTGGGTCTTATCTGTGGCTACTTTGGACATAAGAGTAACACACAGCTGGGCTCTTGGATGAAGCTATAGTGACCCCCAGAGCAGGGTACAGACCAGAAGCAAACTCTGTACACCACCAAATTTGGGGAAAATCTGTGTAGCCGTCTGTGTTCTGATTCGTCATTGTCATGCTTCTGTCTTTTGCAGAGAGACAGTTCTGGTGACGGCAGCAGCAGGTGCCACGGGACTTGCCACTGTGGATGTTGCAAGCAATGTCCTTAAGGCAAAGGTATGCAACGTCCTAGTGATCAGTCAGGGCGAACTATAAGACTGCACAGGATTCCTGACAAACTCTGTTTAAAGAACACTGTATGAGTCCAGTGGCACCTTTAAGACCCAACAAAGTTTCGTTCACTGTATGAGCTTTCATGTGCATGCAACACTTCTTCAGATACAATGAAATGGAATTTATCTAAGGAAGTGTGCGTGCACATGAAAGGGCATACAGTGAGTGAAACTTTGTTCGTCTTAAAGGTGCCACTGGACTCAAACTTTGTTCTACTTCTTCAGACTAATAGTTACCCACCTGAATTTAAAGAACATTTTTTTAGCTCAGCGTGTTGGGGTAAATGATCGCGATGGTAATGTAGACTCAAGACTTACAAGGATCAACCACCATGGCTTTAAGCTTTGTAGATACCGGGATTACTAATTTTCTTTTTGTTTGCTCTTTGAAAAGATTGTTTTAATGTTCTTTTTGCCTGTAATTAATTCTGCATTAGGAATAAATGTAAATGGTTTGCCTGATGGAGCTCAGCATTTCTTTGGGAGATTTCTGCTCCACTGTTCTGGTATTTAAAACAGCACTCAAGGAAGCTTCCAACAAGAAACTGAAAGCAATAAAAATATTATAATAAAAAGTTAAAACTATAAGAACAGCAATTAGCACCATGAACAGTTAAAATGGTATACAGAGGATGAGACAGTTGGGCTGGAGGTTGGAGCACTGTAGGAAGAATTGGGCTGGAGGTTGGAGCACTGTGGGAAGCCGAGAAGGGGGGGGGAAGGGAGGAGGGATGGATATCTAACTGTATAAGTTTTGAAGTATGTTTGAATTTTTTTTACTATATCCTAATAAATTGTTTTTGAAAAAAATTTAGCACCATGAACAAAAAAAACCCCCAAATGCATTTTGCATTTTATGCATTTTAAAGTTTGCTAGAATGTAAAAACGATGAGAACAACAGTCAATAATAAAAGCATCCATCAAAAGTAAAGCCAGCATTACAGCATCAAGTAATGGTTTAAAAACATCAGATGCCTTCTAGAATAAAATGGTTTTTATGAGTCTCTGGAAGGCCAACATTTAGGGGACATGATGAACTTCCTGGGACAGGGATTAGGGGATTTAAACGTCATCTCTTTCAGTATGGGTATGTGGAGCAGGATACCAGCGGCCAATGTTCCCTCTAAGCTGTGGGGTCTTGTGAGCAAAAATTCTACTTTGTGAGCTACTGGCATTAAAGTTGTGAGCGAGCGCTTTGGCTCCTGCATAAATTAGTTTGCTCTGGAGCCCTCCTTCCTGAGCTCAGACAAAAATATGTGAGCCGGAGGCTAAAAAACTTTGAGCTAGCTCACACTAACTCAGCTTAGAGGGAACACTGCCAGCAGCATATCTCTGTTCATGGGGGAGAGCATATGGGCATGTTACTTAATCTACTCAGGGTCCTAACCCTTTAGGGCTTTAAAAGGCAATACCTACTCTTTGAATTGAGCCTGGAAACAAATCAACAGCTAGTGCAGCTGAAGTATCATTGGTGCTACATACAGTCTCTCTGATGGGCCCTAGTTAGAGAGTGTTCTGGACCAATTGAAAATAACAGACATTCTGTGGACTCTGCTCCTGCTGGAACGTTTTGCCGAAATCCAATCTGCATGGATTTTACATGGGCGTGTATGCTTGTGTCCTGATCAGTTGTTTCTGGAACAGCCACAGCTGGTGAGGTAGGCCAAGCAACAAGGCCGAGTCCAGAAGTAGTTTCAGGTGAGGAAAGCCTGGTCTTTCAGAGGGAGGGCAGCCCTGTCCGGAACAACTCAACCTATACACTCGTCAGTCAGCTGAGAGAGAATCCATTGCGGCTGTTCTTTTTTCTGTGACTTCAGGTAATAGCAGCAGCGGGGAATGACAGCAAATGCAACCTGGCTCTCCAGAAAGGGGCCGTCCAGAGTGTGAATTACAGCTGGGCTGGCCTGAGGGAGGAAGTGAAAAAACTCACAGCCAGTAGGGGAGTTGACGTGGCCATTGACACCATCGGTGGAGATATTTTCAAGGAGGCACTGCACAGGTGAGGCAGGCCCGAGTTTCCTTTCCTTGGAAAGCTTGTTCACGTGGCACAATCTTAGCCAACAACTCCTTTAGCCTCCCACCAAAGCAAGTCTCAGACACTGAATTTGGATGCGTGCTCTGAATAAGTTCCTTCCTCGCAGACTGGCCGTTTAGTGTACCCTGCACATTTTAGCAGTAGTCCCAAGTCTATATTCCATGTTCAAATTGTCTAATGTTTTAATATCCCTTTGCCTAATTTGGATTATTTATTTATTTTATTTCTTTCAGCTCACTACCCCGCTCTAACCCCCTAAGGGGTCTCTGAGTGGCTACTCATTTATCCCTAACCGATGTCTCGTTAGCAGCATTCAGTCCCTCTGCTGATGAATCCTTGGTTCAGGGATCGCATGGCACAGATGTCCTTTCTTTTACCTGCATAGTGTAGGGATTAGATTGTCAGGCTAGGAGCTGAGAGACCCAGATTCGAATTCCTACTCAGCCAGGGAAACTCACTCGGTGACCTTGGGCCGATCACTCTCTTTCAGCCCAGTCTACCTCACAGGATTGTTGTTGTTGTGAGGGTACAATGGAAGAAGGGATAATGACGTAAGCCCCTTCAGATCCCCATTGGGGAGAAAAATAGGGTATAAACATCTAAATAAAGAAATATCCTTACCAGAGCCAGGTGTTCCAGAATTTCTAGCTTGCGTGCTCCTGTCTGTTCAACGCACAGCCCGTAACTTACTTTAAGGGCATTGTTTTCATAAAAGCCCTGCTCAAAATGTTGTCAAATGTGGTATCTCAGTAGATGGATCCTGATGTTGATCTTTCTCTCATCTTCTGCCCCCCCATCCTTCAGCCTGGCCTGGGAAGGCAGGATTGTGGTGGTTGGTTTCGCTGGGGGAACTATCCCTTCTATCCCGGCCAACCTGCTGCTTCTGAAGAACATCTCTGCCCTGGGACTGTACTGGGGCCGGTACCGGGACCAGGATTTCCCAGTCTTTTCCTCTGCGCTCTCTTCTGCTCTCCAGTATTGTCAAGAGGGACGTATCCAACCTCATGTAGGAGCAGTGTTCAAACTGGAGGAGGTAAGCATGGGAAGGCGTGAGAAATGCCTGGTGGGTTAATGAAAGCTGTTGTATCCTCCAGGGGATGAACTCGTCTCCGTTGGAGAGATTCAAGTGCCGGTTTTCATAAGCACGTGGTACAGTCCTCCTAGGATTGCTCGTGGCTGTTTGCTCCCCCATTTCAGAGTGAAGTATGCTAGACTAGCATTCTTTCAAATGTATTACGATGATCTATGTGCTTTTCTTGAAATGTTTGATTTAGTTTGATAGAAGAAAAGAGTGTCTGGCAGATGGAACGATAATGCCTCCCTATAGGGCTGTGTTAACTACCATGCTCTGGTCACTGTAGTGTTGGTATGAGCTCCTTAAAGTCTCAAGTCTCTAGGGAGCTCTAGGATTCTCCATTTATATAATAATTAATCATTATCATACGGCAGTGTGTATAGTATAGCTAGGAGACCCTAAGATTGTCTGGCAGCCACAGATTCCAGCTCTTTAGCGTTATGCACTACTAGGTGGCGAGCTAGACTTGTTTTTAAGGCAAGAGACATTTCAGGGGTGGTTCGCCATTGTCTGCCTCTGTGTCACGACCCTGGTATTCCTTGGAGGTTGTCCTTCCAAAAACTAGCCAAGGCCGACCTTGCTTAGCTTCCGAGATCTGATAGGATCAGGCTAGCTTGGGCTATTCAGGTCAGGGCTCCATTTCAATTACAACCTCCTTCCAGAACAACTTCATGGACACCGATGAAACACACAGGCAGTTTTCAGCTTTGCAAGACAGATGATGTACATGCAGGAACATTTCTTAATTTTCATCACAAAGCAGCTTGTTCCATTTCCCAGGCTATCAGGTGTACATGTCCCAGTTGTCTCAGTTGAGTAAGAGCTCTAACATGTTCGTTGCTAATTCATATTCATCATGGTAAGCTTCCAGAAAGATTCACTGTGACTCATTAGCATCTCTGCAGTCTTGTACTGACAGCACTTCAATAGAGTTCTGCTTCTGCAGGACTGTAAAAGGTAAAGGTTCCCTTGCTCGAAAGCCAGTCGAATCCGACTCTAGGGTTGCGGTGCTCATCTCCGTTTCAAAGCCGAAGAGCCAGCGCTGACCGAAGACGTTTCCAATGGTCATGTTGCCAGCATGACTAAACACCAAGGCGCACAGAACGCTGTTACCTTCCCACTGAAGTGGTACCTATTTATCTACTTGCAATTTCTTGCTTTCGAACTGCTAGGTTGGCAGGAGCTGGAACTAGAGACGGGAGCTCACTCCGTCATGCGGCACACTCAGGTCTTGAACTGCTGAACTACCGACCTTCCACAGACACAGTTCAGCGTCTTAACCAGGGCTGGGCTGCAGGGCTGGGCCCTAGTCAAATTGGTGATTGGCTGTCCAGATGTGTTCCTCTGGCCTCCTGTAGAAGTCCAAGCAGCTTAGGGAGCTAATGGCCATTCCCTCCACATCTGCTAAAGTTGCATTGGCCCTGTTCCAAAGTTTGTGGAAATCCAGAACAACAGTAAGATCTAGTACAAGGGTATAAAATGTTCTTCCTACTATGTAAGCCTTGAGTTCAGAACAGGCTGAAACACACATAAGGATGGATGGCAGCTCTCTGTTTGTGTGCACGTGTGGAACTTTGATCTCCCTCGGGACAGCCGGAAATGCTAATCAATAATTTTTTTATCACGTACAGTTCCAAGCAGCCCTGACCTGGATAGCCCAGGTTAGCCCAATCTCATTAGATCTTGGAAGCTAAGCAGGGTCGGCCCTGGCAGGTATTCGGATGGGAGACCACTGAGGAATACCAGGTTCACAACGCAGAGGCAGGCGATGCCCAACCACCTCTGAATGTCTGTTGCCTTGAAAACCCCTACGGGGTCACCATAAGTCAGCTGTGACTTGACGGCACTTTCCATCACTAGTCCTAAGCATCTTTGTTTCTTCTGGGCCCATTAGAATCTTAAAAAAAAAAAATCATTCATGGACATGGCCTGGCCCAGGCGAGCCCTATCTTGTCAGTTCTCAGAAGCTAAGCAGGGTCGGCCCTGGTTAGTATTTGAATAGGAGCAGGGGTCGTTTCGTAGAAAAAGAGCTAGGGGAACTCATTAGCATAACTCATTAGCATATGCCACACCCCCTGACATCACCGGAAGTGTGTCATAAGGCCACACCCCCTGACATCACCAGAAGTGTGTCATAAGGCCACACCCCCTGCCCCCAACGGTCCCAGCCACCGCCGCCGGCCTTGCAGCTCCACTGCTGAGCCTCATGAGGGGCCCGGCGGTGGACCTGCAAGGCCGGCGGGAGTGCAAGGAAGCCCCGCGAAGGCCCTCCCTGGCCCCAGGCAGGCAGGGGTGGGGAGAGGCAGGGAGGAAGCAACTTACCCTCCCTCTTCTCCTGCCTCCTCCTGGCTTGACCTCTGGATGGGAGACCACCAAGGAAATCCAGGGTTACTGTGCAGAGGGAGGCCATAGCAACCCACCTGTTTTTGTTTCTTGCGTTGAAAACTCTGTGGGGTTGCCACAAGTCAGCCATGATTTGACAGTACTTTATACACACATAGAGCCTCCCTTTCCTTCAATCTGAAATAAAGGCAGCTTATAAAATGTAGAGCATAAGGGAAATCACAGCAGGGGCCTACTGATGCTTAACAACATACAGAACTTCTAAGACCCACGGCTGACCAACATCTGACAATGGTCAGCGTCAGGGGTCGTTTCGTAGAAAAAGAGCTAGGGGAACTCATTAGCATAACTCATTAGCATATGCCACACCCCCTGACATCACCGGAAGTGTGTCATAAGGCCACACCCCCTGACATCACCGGAAGTGTGTCATAAGGCCACACACCCCGCCCCGAACGGTCCCGGCCGCCGCCGCTGGCCTTGGACCTCCACTGCCTAGCCCCATGAGGGGCCCGGCGGTGGACCTGCAAGGCCGGCGGGAGTGCAAGGAAGCCCCGTGAAGGCCCTCCCTGGCCCCAGGCAGGCAAGGGTGGGGAGAGGCAGGGAGGAAGCAACTTACCCTCCCTCTTCTCCTGCCTCCTCCTGGCTGAATGAGGGCCGGAAGCAGGGGGCGGGGCTTCGTCATGTGCCCCGCCCCCCGTACCTCACCTGGGGGAACTGCGATCCCCCGCGATCCCCCCCGAAATGACCTCTGGTCAGTGTCAGGTACCACCAAGTCAACAAGCAGGACAATTCAAGGATGATTTAGTTCTCTAGGTTCATTTCCTGGAGATGAGGTTCATTTCTAACCTTCAAGCATCTGTCTGCTGCTATAGATTTCTCCCCTAGAACTAGTCGTTTCAAAGACAGGAGGAGTGCTAAAGGAGGTTACATTCAGGCTGCTGTTGTCTTTGGGAGTGAATAATGGCACAATTTTTTCTTTACTGTCAGAGACCTGTTTCAGAGGGCTGTTGGGAGGATAGAGGAGAGGACTGTAGCCTGAGCTTCTTGGAGGGAAAGGGTGGGATTCAAAGGAAATAAGGGATAAAATATCAAAATTGGTTTTCTCTCTAGAGGATGGCATTGAAAGGCTTCTCTGTGCCAGCATAATTTTTTTTTTGCACTGTCTGTAACTGACAGTTAACATGAAGAGTTGGTACATTCAGTGATCCATCTGTCACTTGACTGTCCCCAGTTCACACTCCCGGTTCCTGTTCATGTCTCGTTGAAGAAGTGCAAACGTACCTCCCACTGTTAATCAGGACAAATGTCTCAGATATTCCACCTCCTTAGCCACTGTCTCCATTTCATTATCATATATCCTTTAGGGAAAATGAGCAAACAGAACATTTAACTGGCGTTTGTGCCGATTCATTTGCCACTGGCAAGCTCTTCCTTTCTAAGGGGGCTTGCTTCTGACCTTGCACAAAGTCCTGGCTGCTTTGTGACCCCATATCCCAAAATCTGCAAAGGTCGGATCTAGCAGAGGGATTTCTGTGGCCTGAAGGACAGGGGCAGATTTCTCAAAGTCTCCCCTCCTACTTGCAAACTTCTCATCCCCCCCCCATTCTATTCATACTGGTCCCTTGTCCTCTAGGAGTGGCCTTTGGGTGAGCTTCTAGGACTGCAGCCAGAGTGGGGAAGCAAGAAATTTGTCTTCTGCAGGTGAAAATCCCTTCTGTCTGTAGAAGTCCTCTGTGAGAGCCAACCTCAGGTCCTGTGTCCATCTGCTGACCACCAGTAACCCAGAAACAAGATAAGAGCTAGATTTGATTCCTTTAGCACCTTAGAGACCAACAAGATTTTTAGGGTATAGACTTTCAAGGGTGAAAGCTCCCTTCGTCAGGTACGAGCAGGAATAAAACTGAGCCTTTATATCCCAGTCAGAAAGTGAGAGGGATGTTGCAAAGAAGGGAGTCAGGAGTCCTCAGGGATCTCCATTTGTCCTCATATCTGATGAAAGAAGAAGAGAAGAGGAGACTGGATTTATACCCCGCCCTTCACTACCCAAAGGAGTCTCAGAGTGGCTTACAAACTCCTTTCCCTTCCCCTCCCCACCACAGACACGCTGTGAGGTAGGTGGGGCTGAGAGAGCTCTGACAGAAACTGCTCTTTTTCAAGAACAGCTCTTATCAGAACTACGGCTTGCCCAAGGTCATCCAGCCAGGTGCAAGTGGAGGAGTGGGGAATCAAACCTGGTTCTCCCAGATTAGAGTTTGTGCACTTAACCACTACACCAAAGGAGCTTTGAGTCTTGAAAGCCTATGCACTTGTTAGTCTCTAAGGTGCTACTGGACTCGAATCTGGGTCTTCTGCTGCAGACCAACACCCTCCAAAACCAATATGATGGCCTTTTACTTCTCTGTCCTGGTGGGTCAGGTTTCTGTTCACCTCTGCATGCCCATTTAGTATCAAACTCATCCTTGCAACCTTCAAGGAACATAGCTGGTTGTCCCCAAAGCAACTTACTAGCCATGCTGCCTAAAATGGGCTTGATGCACCTTCATAAATGTGACATATTTATATTTATTTAGGAAGCTTTGTGCACCTCTTGGAGGCAGCTCACAACTAAAACAATAAAACAAATTCAGGGAAGGAGTAAAAACAAATCATGCCAGTAACCCCCCCCCCCCGCTGCCAATGAACTAGTTAAGACAATAAAATAATTAAGAGCATGCAACCCCCCCCTCCCACAAATCAGGATGTAAAAGCATAAAGCACGTAAAACAAACATAGTCTAAAGTGGTATTGAAAAAGACAGTCCTCTGAGTAGGAGCAGACTATAAAACAATGTAACAGGATGGAACCGCTTAGTTAAAAGCCTAGGTAAAGAGAAATGCTTTGGCCTGGTGCCTAGAAGAAAGGAAATTGGACATCAGGTGACCCTTAAGGGGGGAGGGCATTCCAAAGCCGAGATGCCATCATTTGTTGCACCATTATTTGGGGGGGGGGGGGGAATCATTGAAGAAGCATGTGTATTCTTCCATCTTTGCAGAAGTCCTGAATTCCTCTTTGTTTGAATTGCTTTACAGGTCAATGAAGCCTTTGCACATGTGACTCAACGTAAATCTACAGGAAAGGTTATCATCTCAGTTAGTTAAGCCTGGTTTTGTGTGTTTGTGTATGGATGTCGGATCTCACTCCTTACTGCGCTTGCCTCCTTCTGAAGAGACACGGGACTTCGTCCCATGAAGCCTAAACAATTCACTAACATTGTGGTCCTGTGCAAAGTTATTCTGGTCTAAACAGATGGGCTTAGAATGGAGTAACTCTTCATCGGATTCTACTGCAAGTGACTTGGTTGTTTTGGGGGTATGAGAGCAGATGGTTGCCTCTTGAACAGTACAACACCACGGGAGCTCCAGTCAGCCAGGCAGAGAATCCCTCACCAGCATGCCCTCATCTGGTCTTACCCTGGCTTTCCTGCCATTTGCAGAAACTGATGAGTAGCACATCAGTGGTGCTGGATAATATCCAGTATTGAAGCGTGTATGCCCAGACCACTGGCCTGTGGAGCGGGCTGAAGTTACATGAAGCAGTTCGACCACTGCAGCTCCCCAAGTGTAGCCATGTAAACAGTTTGGCTGGGAATGGTAGGTACGTGGCTCTGAAGTTCTCGAAGGAAAAGCGGGATACTATTGGCCATCAGTGCATAAAGAATGGAGTGTCCTGTCCAGCAGCTTGTGTCCCTAGAGGGCCCCTTTTGAGGATGGAGTGGAGGAAGCAGGCCCAAGTCCCGCCTGCCAAGCTGACCTGCTGGCAAATTTCCTCATCCATGCTGCCTGTTTTCTGGATGCTCGCTGCAGTTTCAGAAATAAGTCAGTAAGGGAACACAGTGCTGCAGAGAACCCGGAAAGCAAAATACACTGTGAAAAAGCAGTTTCTAACAATTATATATAAATAAAGACTTATGCAAGCTTATTTGTCTGATAATTATTTTAAAGTTAAATACAGTATCAATAGAAGGAAACTTTATAAAGTGGGACTTTGAACATATGTGTACGACATGTCTTCTGAAATAAATCTTAAACATACATGTGTACCATGTCGAAGGACAAAAGACAAGCCTCAGCAAAATGCAAAACAGAATACAAGTCAAACAAGGTTGCTTTAATATCATACAAAACAACCCAAGGAAAAATTCAGGCACCAGGAAGTGTCACTAGTGTTTTCTGTGCTTTTGGCAAGCAATGATTTTGACAGCAGGTTAATCTCTGTGGATGATGTCTGTGGAGGATATGACTTTCCAGCCAACTGACGTGTCTCCCAGGTAAGGTCGTGTTTCCAATCTTCATCAAAATCAAGGATAAACATTTTCATATGGAGCTCCCAAACTTCATGAAAACTCACACCAGTTCCCTTCCCATACACAGGAGCAAGCTGCTTCAAACTCAGAATGGCTGTTAGAAGCTCTATGTTCCCTTATTGACTTATTTCTGTACCTGTTTAGGGATGGCTCATTTTAACAGCCATTTTACTTTTACTGATGCTTGCTACAGTTGGCAACTGGGGCTTGGGGGCCTCCAGTTGCCGATCTCCTATTTTAATGATATTGGCAGGGTGCTGTTTCTCAAGTATTCAGTGCTGTTTCTCAAGTATTCACATGCCTCCTTACTTCCTCCTTCATTCCCATTCAGCCTGTGACAGATTGAGCTATTTTGCCACCTTATGCCAGGCTTCTGCTGTCCAAGTGTGAGCTCTGGGGTCTCGGATCCAGGCAACAGGTCTGGTAGGTGACCAACAGGGGACAAGCCATGCACCACTGCCTTGTTCCAGTGTTGTGTCAGTGCCCTTGGCAGGCTGCGGTGCCCCAAGCATCCACTTGGGTCACTTGGGCTCTGCATTCAGCAAGTTAACCCTTTTTGTTCTGTAAGCAGCTGTGCTCTTCTGTCCACTGAAGGCAGCCCCTCTTGTTCCAGGACCAAACCAGTCACTGAGCTCATTTGCCTTGCTTTCTGTTTCTTTATTTTAACCCAAAGCAGCTTCTGTTGGCTACCAGCCTGGGCTGAAGGAAAGGGATAGACTCGGGCAGCTTTGACCCTTTCCATTCCACCCATGATGCAGTTCAGCAGTGTCCTCCGTCACCCAGTCTTTTCCATCCTTGTATCTGGCTCAGCAGCAGCCAAAACGATGTAGGGCCATTGCAGCTAGTTGATGTATTGCACTATGACAGCGCTGAGCCAGCGCCTCGTATTAGACCTGCTGTGTAATTTTTTCCCCTTTGAATAGCTGCATGAATATGTCTGAAGGTCCTCCGTTGGCTCACTGTATATCTGGAATTCCTAAAGATGATATCACTGTCTGTGACACTTGAATGGGGCGGCAGGAGCAATCTCAGGGAAAGGATTTTTAAGTTACATCTCCTTTTTGGTTTATATAAAAAAACAAGTATTGTGCAAAGGAAATGAAAATAAAGTATATGACCATTTTCTTTCTTTTGGAGTCTTCCTTTCTTATTGAGGCTCAAGGCAGATTGTGTAATTACATGCAATTCAATAAGAACAATATAAAACATACAACTACCAGGGAATAAAAGGGAGTTACAAAATAAGAGAACAGTGCACTAAAGCAGTATAGCATATTAAAAAACAGTGATATAATACAAATAATGCAGCAGAGCCAAATTGCAAAACTGGCAAATAATGTAATAATAATAATAACAACAGTAATAATAATGCAACCAATGAAGGCTGCTTGGTGTAGTGGTTAGGAGCACGGACTCTAATCTGGGAGAACTGGGTTTGATATCCCACTCCTCTACATGCAGCTGCTGGTGTGCCCTTGGCAAGCCACAGTTCTTTCAGAGCTGTTCTCTCAAGAGCAGTCCTCAAAAGAGCTCTCTCAGCCCCACCTACCTCACAGGGTGTCTGTTGTGGGGAGGGGAAAGGAAAGGGATTGTAAGCCACTCTGAGACTCCTTTGGGTAGGGAAGGGCAGGTGGGGTATAAATCCAATCTCTTTAAATTTCACAGCCTTAATTCCTATTATAAAAATGTATTTTTGGCAATTGTTCAGTTATATCTTACTTCCCTCTCTACTGTACACTAGAAGTGGTCTTCCAGTTACACCTGATGATGGTGGGGATATCACTAGCTGTGTCCGCTTGAAGCTGCTTCTCCACCTCTTCTGCAGTTATGCAGTATTCTCATGCAAGATGGACATGGGACCAGAGGTAACAGCTGTGGATATGCAGGATCAGCCCAGTACAGCGAGGGAAGGAATTGGGCCGCCTGACCATAAAAAGGGATCCCCTTTCCATTCATTCGTATGTTGTGTTTTATTGACGTATGCTGTTCATTGTGTGCCATGTGGTATCCAGTGCTTATGTGAAGTATTTGTGGTTAATGTAACTCTACTGAATGATTTTTCAGAGGGACCTGCTGTGAAGGGCCCCTCCTAGGGTGTTCTTTCTTCCTTGGGAGTTTGCTGGGCCTGGGCTGTCGAAAACGAGGGGGATCTGTTGGGAGCCCTGGTGGCACACAGAGGCAAGTGGCCAAGCATGCCCCCCTAAGGCAATGGGACACAATTGTTTTTGATGGATTGTGGATTTTGCTCTCTTTTAAGCAGATTCAAGTGTATACTTACATGATACAGTCAGTGTTCCCTCTAAGCTGAGTTAGTGTGAGCTAGCTCACAGTTTTTGAGCCTCTGGCTTACACATTTTTGTCTTGGCTCAGGAAGGATGGCTCCAGAGCAAACTAGTTTATCCAGCAGCCAAATCTCTTGCTCACAACTTTAATGCCAGTAGCTCACAAAGTAGAATTTTTGCTCACAAGACCCCACAGCTTAGAGGAAATATTGGATACAGTCGGCTGCAAGTCCCTACTGGCATAGGATCTTCTAGTTTTCTGGGAGGAGCAGTGCAAACTAAAACTCACCTAGCTTTCCTACTTACCCAATTCAGTTTTAATTTCCTATTTTTATGGCTCAGAGGGGCCTAAAATGTTTTTTCCAATCACCTGCCCTCTTTCCACATCCACAGAAATGCAATACCTCAGCTACAGATAACCCACCAATTAGCCTGGTGGTGGCTCTACTAGGACAGCCAGTGAGGTATAATAGTAAGAATCTTGGACTACACCTGGGGAGACCAGGTCCAAATTCCTGCTTGTTATGGAAATTCCTTTGGTGACCTTGGGCCCGTCATTTGGCCTCAGCCTAACCTGCACAGCCAATTAGATCTCCAATCAAAGGCCTGCTGAGCAAAAGCCCTCTCTGGCTCTGCTCACTTTCTAAAAACACTCAGAAGGTGCCAAGAAAAGTATCACTGGGTGCTGTGCAGTGTTCCTTCTAAGCTGAGTTAGTGTGAGCTAGCTCACAGTTTTTTAGCCTCCAGCTCACACATCTTTGTCTTAGCTCAGGAAGGAGGGCTCCAGAGCAAACTAATTTATGCAGTAGCCAAATCACTTGCTCACAACTTTCTTGCCAGTAGCTCACAAAGTAGGATTTTTGCTCACAAGACTCCACAGCTTAGAGGGAGTATGCTGTGGTGCCCCGGGTGCCACATTGTGGACTCTTGTTCTAGGTATCCCGTTTCCTTGTTTCATACTAGGGAATGTAGCGGAGGAGATAGCAAATAACTTGATGGAACACAGGGAATGTGGTTCCATTAGGCTATAGTGTTAGGCCAGCCCTGTAAACACTCATTCCCTGTTATGGCTTTAGCACCAGCTTTTTAAATGAATCTGTAATGCCACCAGGCAAGGCAAGGGGAAAAAAGCAAATAAATAATCTTTATTTAAATAAATAACCTACACGTTGTCAAATAAATAAATAAAAATGGAGACCCATGATACTCACGGGGAGAATCCCATAACCCCCGTCCAGTGCCAAGCCTAGCATGGCTATTAATGAGCCTGGGGTCTCCTACCACCACTGCTGGGCCTGGCGGAGCTGCCGGTGTCCTCTGCCACTGCCGAGCCCTATATATTTTTTAAGAGTTTGCTGTAAACTTGATGAATCCCCTAAGTTTGTAGAAAAATCTCCTTAGCCTCCATGTGGCCCCCAATCCACAGATTTAAGTATCTGCAGATGGAGGCCACACGTAGTTAATAGTATATAGATATAGAAAGGCCACTTCTTCATAATGTCAAAACTTTTTCTCTTCTAAGCTTCTGCAGCTTTCAAAACTCTGGAGCTTTGGCCATTAACCGCTGAGCAGCATGTAAAACTGCCCAGCATGTTTTTCATTCTCATCTGAAATCATTCTCTAAATGTAAAGAAAATGTTTTAAATAATGCATTCTCGTGAATTATGGATCCCTCAGTGTCAAGGTCGCCTGGTTTTAATTTTTCTTTTTACCCAAAAGGAACCATTTTAATTGCAACGCAAATGGCAGAGTAGGAGGTTGAAAATATTTTGTCTTCCGTGACAATTAGCTGAAGTGTACCTTTGCATGAAAGATTCAGAGGCAAGAATGGACGTCTGGGGCGGGGGAGAGTGCAGTCTCATGAACTTCTGCTCATATCTATTCATGGAGGCTGGATGCTCAGCAAGTAGATGAAGTCCCTGGAATTCTGTGTTACTTTACCCCTTCCGAGGCTCTGGCCTGTGGGAGGCACACAGCCACAAATGAGGTGGTCGAATCCTGAGGCTTTACCGTGAATGATACTACTTCAGACGGGCAACCTTTGTAATGCTTCCCTGTATTAACTAAATGCACATAAAACACACACACACATACACACACACACTGTAATGTATTGGAATGCTTACTTGAATCACCGCATTCACTCCCCATGTTAAGCTTTGAGCCGACGAAGGCTCCTCTGAACTGACTCACGATTGGTCGCCCTGTACCAGCGACCAATCAGGACAACACACAGTCCCTGAGTGGGACGGACTCTTATTGGTCTTTATCTAAACAACCTCATTGGTTGATTATTGTAAATAGGTGTGGCTATGTTAGCCGGGGAATGTTTAAAAGGAGCCTAGCTCCCAATGTTAAACTGTTCTGGTTATGAATGCGTTTAAGTGCTTGTTCGTTACTTCAATAAAGCTGAATCACTTTACTGAAATCACTCTCCGGATCTTTGTTAGCGGCGATCTAACACACACACACACACACAGAGGCAGAAAAGGTCTAAGGCAGCCTATATACCCCACTGTGCGTGTTTCCGAAGTGCTGTGAGTCTGTGACGAGAGCATTCAAAAAGATGTTCCCCTACCTGCAGCCTGAAGTGGAACAGCCTGCCCTACTTACTACCTCAGGACTCTACCACCTAACAGGGGTGGAGCATTAACTCAGTGATAGAGCATCTGTTTTGCTTGG